GGTACTTCACCCAACTGGAATCACACAGTATAGGTCTTTTTGTAACCGGTTCCTTTCATTGAACATATTCTCTTCAAAGTTTACCCATGTTTCAGCACATGACAGAAATTCCTTCTTTTAAGGCTGAGTAAAATTCCATTATATATATATATGTCACATTTTTGTTCAGTTCATCCACTGATAGAAGTTGCATTGCTTTCACCTCTTGGCTATTGTGAACAATGCTATTATGAACATGTTATGAACATGGGTATGCTAATCACTTTGAGACTCTGCCTTCAGTTTTTTGGGTGCAAATACCCACAAGTGCACTTGTATCACATGGTATCACATGGTAATTCTAATTTTTTGAGAAATCCCAATATCCATAGTTGTACCATTTTACATTTCCACTAACAATGCACAAGACTTCTAACTTCTCCTTATCACCAAAACCTTTTAACTTTTTTATATAGTAGCCATTCTAACGGTGATGAGCTCATGTGGCTTTGATTTGCATTTTTCTTTTAAATTTTTTTTCAACGTTTATTTATTTTTGGGACAGAGAGACAGAGCATGAACAGGGGAGGGGCAGAGAGAGAGAGGGAGACACAGAACCGGAAACAGGCTCCAGGCTCTGAGCCATCAGCCCAGAGCCCGACGCGGGGCTCGAACTCCCGGACCGCGAGATCGTGACCTGGCTGAAGTCGGACGCTCAACCGACTGCGCCACCCAGGCGCCCCATGCATTTTTCTAATAATGATGTTGAACATCTTTTCAGGTGCTTATTACCCATTTATGTATCATCTTTGGAGAAATGTCCACTCAATCTTCTGACCAGTTTTTAATTGGAGTTATTTATTTTTTGTTGAGTTGCAGGAGTTCTTTATTCTGATTAGTTTCTTAGAAGATATATAACTTATAAATATTTTCTCCCATTCCATATGCAGACCTCCATTTTCTTTTAGCTTCCAGTATCACTATTGATCAAGAGGTCTGCCCTCTTGATCCTTTGTATGAAACCTTTTCCGCCCACCTCTGAAAACTCTTAGGATGTTCTCTTTTCTCTCAGTTATTCAAAATTTCATAATGTAAATTGGCATGTATGTATTCTACTCCATTTTTATGACTCATTTTCATTTAGAAAGGTCTTTCCTTCAGTTCTTGGAAAAATACTTCAATTCACTCAATAAAGATTTCTTCCTTTCAATTTTTGGTTTCTCTGTCTCCTTTTGTTCTAATATGTAGGCTTATTTGAGAACCTATTCTATCAGTTAAGTTGATATTTGACACTACTGTTATTTGAACTTATATACTTTTAGTTGTACATTTATAATATTCCAGATTCCTCTTATCCCTGTTTTTTTAACTATTGAATTAGAAATTTCATTCTTTAATTCTTGTTATTGTTCTGAAATTTGTACATTTCTGTATCTTTCATTGTGATTTAGGCTTAAATTTTCTATATTTTCTATATCTCTGTGAATGTTAGAACCCCAGATCGACTCTCTTTAGTCTATATTCACTATCTAACACTTTGTGGCCACCTAATGCTTATTGCTATCCTTTGACTTTGAACCATTTGTGACCAAAAGAACATTTGTTAGTGGGTCTGTTTGTCTGTATTTATCCAGCATTTCTATTTCTACCAACTAGGGTCATATTGCAGAGTTCAATCTGTTATGTTGCTTTACAGAGTAGTCTACCCATAGCAATTGTCATCGAATATAAAAATATGTTCATACATACATGTAGGTATTTTTTTAAATTTTTTAAAATGCTTATTGTTGAGAGACAGACAGACAGAGCACACATGGGGGAGGAGCAGAGAGAGAGAGCCACAGAATCTGAAGCAGCCTCCAGGCTCTGTCAGCACAGAGCCCCACGCAGGGCTTGAACCCATAAACCATGAGATCATGACCTAAGACAAAGTTGGAGGCTTAACCAAATGAACCACACATTTGCTTTTTTTTTTTTGTTTTTGCTTTTTGTGTTTTTGTTTTTTGCTTTTTTAAAAATTTTGCACTGGTGTAGGTATTTGAAGTTATCCACTGAAATAAAACAAGTGCATGATTTTATGATTCCACATAATATAATTTTTATTAGCACTAACCTTATAAAGAGAGCTAGGTTATTTTGTCTAAACCAAATAACCCTTTACAAATGACACCTTTCAAAGCCTCTGTAGTTGTAGAGAGGACGCTCTCTAACCATCTCAGCTCAGTTTGATAAGGAATGTTGCAAACAGCAGTGTATTATAATCCCTAATAAGAAACACTTGTATTTGTTGCAGGGCATGAGATATGGAAGTACTTACCAAACCTTCTGAACTTTGAACAAAGTTAGAAAGCCTGGCAACAGTTTATCCCACTAAACAATGTGTTGGCTGACTTAGAAAACAACTTCTCTATTTGAACCGTGGCTTGCATCCCTCTAAGTTAGCCATAGCAAATGTTCTTCATTATTTTAAAAGGTAGAGAGTAGGAGGGGGAGTAAAATATGGGCCTCAAGCATTTTTCCTCCAAAAATAAAAATAAAAAGAGAAAGGGAAGGAAGACGCCTAAAACAATATTACGCTGCATTCTGCACTTTGTCGTTCAATGCTTTACAATTGCCTAATTGTTCATCAGCGTCACTAAAGAAATGCCTTTTATTTTCTCCAGGCACTTAGAGATGACTAAGTGTCACTTAGTCAATTGGCAGAACAAAGAAGTCAATTTATGGATCACATTTTCTCTGTTTCGTTGTTCTTGAAAATAATTCACTTTATTGGTTTAGTGTTCTGGAAAGGTGAGGGATTGACAGGCTTGAAGTACAGAAATATCATCCCAGAGATTCAGGCTGCACACACACATTTCTGTTTGAAACTAGAGGTGAAAAGGTAAGAGTTTTTTAGTCTCTTCATGTAACAAACTACTCTAAAAATTAAACAATACTAAAAACTTCTGACTTCCTTCATGCACATTTCACCTGAAAATAGTTACCCGTCTGCATTTTTCTTTCCACACCAACCCTATTAATTAAGCTAGCCCTCAATCATCTCTTTGGTACATATATAAGGTAGTTATTTAGCATTACAACATAAAAAGCTTAAAATACCATTTCTGTAATTCTCCTCTACTTAAAAGGTGTATTACTCTGCAGAAGTTGGGAAAATATGTACCATGGAAAGAAGAAAATAAAAATTATCCATAAATTCATACCAGAGAAAATCACCATTAACTTTTTTATATAATCTTGTCATAATTTTCCTATATTCATGTTAACAAATTGTAATCCTATGAATATATTATAACTTCATTTTTTTATTTGTGAACATTTATAAGAGATCAAATATTCCCCTAAAATGATTCCTAAATTATTGCCCATAAATGAACACATCTAGTTTATTAACCCATTCCCTTTCTATTGGACAGCCAATTTACACTATGTATGACCACAAATAACATTGAAATGAGTATCAGTGAACATGTCTCTGTAAGTATCTCTATCTTCTTAGATTAACTTGTTTGTAGTGGATTACCAAAAGATACTGAAAATTTTAAGGTTTATACACAGTATATGGCCAAATCACCTTTTCCAAATTTACTACCCTCAAAGTAGAGTTAGTTTTACTTTATATTCATATCTTTGAATGGTGAAATTAACACCATAACTACCATTGGGCAATGGACTGCCTTGACTCAGTCTCCAGCTATTGGATTTTTCTATTAGCTTATATAGAAAACTAAATTTACTACGGAAGAAGGTATACTCCTTTATTTTTATTCTTGTACTTTTCCAGCATAATCTTAGAAAGAAAATAAGCTTAATTTTATACTTTTAATTATCTTTTAATCTTGTATACCGGTAAACCTCTAAAATAACTCATTGCTATTTCAATCACTTCAGTGTAAATTCATGCCTTAGAAATATGGCATGTATTCACATAACTACATGTTTCCTTATCTTTTAAGAAAGGTGTCTAATTATGGAATATGTCATTATGCTCTTTTAAAAAAAAACATATGCTATCCTTTTCAAATTAAACTAAAAACTTTTGAGGGTCTGGTGAGAGAAAAATTTAGAGAAAAAGTTAGAGAAAAAAATTGGAAGAAAGACACACAGATGTTTGCTATTCCCTTTTAATCACTTTTTCCCAGAAATTGTTCCTTTCACCAGAATTTACTAAATATGGGAATAAAACTGCTGCAGAGTACAATCTATATCCACAAATGAAATTATCTAGTTATATTCAATCTATTCTGTATTTTTGAATGGCAAGTGCATTTTCCATATGCATAGTGAGCATTGAAATGCACTACAGCCACAAATTGCGATTAGAAAAGCTGCTTGTTTAGCAGTTTCAAAGGGAGGCAACATGACAATCAAACATGGAAAGCAGATGGAAAATTTATTTTAGGACATGTAGCAATAATACAGAAATTAGGGAGCAATTAAAACATGAAAAAAAAATCAGTTTAGCTGAGAAAGTGAATCCAAAGTTATTTCAGTTCACTTCCCAATTATGCTTGTTCTTAAACGAAGATTTGAATTAGGAAGAATGAAATCTGAATGTTCTTTCAGCAAATAAGGTACAACTGAGAATGACATGTAGTGATTGTTCAAAACAATCTTAACCAGAGCAATTACTCAATACTAGCATTTATTTTTAGATGGTAATTCCCCATATTTAGACTGTTGGCTAGATATCAGCAGTGCCAGAAACTCATTGTATTCAGCTTTGTATACTTTTTAATTATTTTTTAAAATTAAAATTTCAGTTTTAAGTACATTGCATAACGTTTAAGTAGACTGCATAATAGTAAAGGCCCGATGAGTGATTTTCTCATACCTCTTGTGCCAAACACATCAGGAGAAATTAATGTGACCTTTGAAAATAAATCCTTCTGTAAGTCACCATTATTGGACTTGGCGGGAACATGCCAAGGCACAAGGATACCTTTGCAGGAATATTTGCAGGTCTACATGTAATGAACTACAGCATTAGGTAGAAGTTAATTCCAGACACTTACCCAGAATTCTCGCGCTGCAGTGCTGGAGACTGACACAGAAGGCAGCGGGCAAATCCTGAGAAGACGGGGCTGGTGGAAAAGCCTTGGGTTTGCCAGGGTCTCGGGCTGGATTTCCCGGAAGTAGAGCCTAACCCGAGGATTCAGGTGTAAGTGGTTTAATAGGAAAGTGCTTCCAGGAGAAATCAATACAGGAGTGCAGGATCCAAGACAAGGAAGAGGTTGAAGCTAATCAGGCGCTATTTCTGGCAAAGGCCCTGGAAGGTGGTGTCAGCCTTCAAAGAGAAGTTTGAAGTGTTAGTTATGCCTTAGTTTATCCCAGTTACATAAATGCACCTCAGAGAAGACATAACTTGCTTAAATTAAGTTGTCACCAAATAGCTGATAGGTCTCCTCAAGAGTTAATAACATATTGAGTAAATAACATCAGATTCCACTTCTGATGCATCGGACGTTCAACCTCTTTGAGAAGCCTGTGCTATTGGGTCTTTGCATAATTGCCAACCCAACACCATGACTACTCAATTTGAGCTTCTACAGTGGAAAAGACAGTGGTTCAGATTGGTCCAGATTGTTTTTATTTTTAGTGACACATGATTTCTATTTATTGAAAAAAATTAAACAGGTATATAATGATCTGATGAAAATCCTCCCTTTGATTCCCCCACCTTAACCCACAGGTATGATCATTATTAATTATTTAGTATGTACCTCTTTTAGACCATTGACTGAAGTTGTATTTGTAACTGTTTATTGAAATACCCAGATCATTCCTGATTCTGTCATCACTTTAAAAAAGTATATGAATAAAGGGCAAGTTTCTCTGTCCTCCTTCTCTTCAGATGCAACTTCTAGAAATAATTGGTTTGGTATTCATTTTCCCTATTTTCCAACTTTATACATATATATCTGATATATATATATGTATTTGTATAGATATAGTTTTAGAAAAATATGTTTATTACTCAATGCATTGCTTTTTCTGGTTAAAAATATAATATGCACAAATTTCCAAATCTATATATATATGTCAATTATCACATTATGTTTAATTCTTGTATAATTTGCACTTTATATGACGCATCATAATTTATTCACCCATTCTGTCTTACTGTACATTAGATTATTTCTATGCATTGCTTCAGAAATAATACTGAAGTAAACACCTTTTTACTGATATTATACTATTGCTTTGGGGGAATATATTCCCCCAAACGGGACTTCATGTCAAGTGTGTTTATCTTTTTATTTAATATATATCATCATTACAGCAGTTTTCAAAAATAATGAAAAGTCTCTAAAACACAGATGTTACAAAAAAAAATATATATATATATATAACTTAGTGGGAGGGAATATTATATATTTTATAAAACAATGCAGAACAATATATGTTAAAGATGAAAGAAATCTTTGGATTGTTTTAACAATCTTTCACAAAATCCCCAAACATTTTTTATATGATACGATAAAGCCATTGCATGACGTGCATGGCCTCATCTCACGTAAGACAAAAAAAATCTCTCAGCCAAAAAGAACCTTTAAAATAATGTCTTTATTTGTCTCTCATTATACCTCATGCAAGAATACACGTTCCACAGCGGTACTTATTTAAGTTCTCCTTTTTCTCCCTTTTTTTTATTCGCACATTCAAAATGTTTCTGTGTTTCATTTTTAATGACTATTAAAAACCTCTACTTTAATTCTAATCTGGATGCTACTGTCTCTCTTCACTTTCCTTTTCTTCTTGGGTCCTCATTTCAAATAAAAGCATAGGCAAAAGGAAAAAAGAAAAGAAGAGAAACTAAGTGGGAAAGCTAGAATTCTCTTAAAAGGGAGGTGACAGAAAAGCAGATAGACCTTCCTACCTATCTTTTTGTTTATTAGGCAGAAATTTCTCAGAAGGTTTGAGGTTATTTTAAACAAATATATGCAACACAGTAAAATGAGGCCAAATATAAAAGTGAAACCTATAATGCACACCACAGATTTCTATAGGATAATTACATTGTAGTCTAGAATTTGGCTTCGACCTTCTTCATAACAGAAGAGTGAAGTTTTGGGTTCTGTTGAGGGTATACAAAGCAGAAAAGCACATCACTCCCAGCCTTAAAATAATAAAAACATTCAGATACTCAACAGAATCACAACTACTTTTGAACCCACAACTACTTTTGAAGTTAAGGTCTCAGGGTAACTAACCTGAAATCTAAGGAAACACAGGAACCTTTAAGGAAAGACAAGATATGAGCACTTACTGTCTTAACACCACACAGTCCAGTAAGAATGATTTAGCCAAAATTTCAACCAATTGGTAGAGGCCAAATATGGGCTAATGTGAGGATAGTGAACATCTAGAAGAACAGACACAGGGAGGATTCATACTTACTCACCAAGTCTTCTCCATAGACCTCACCAGGTATACATAAAAACTGGAGCAAACTTTTTAGAATTAATAATTAATATTTCATGTTTCAATAGATAGAAAAAAATCCCATTTTATTAAATGAACACTACCTTAATACAAAACAGAATTGTAACCGTAAAAGAAAATAAAATGCGTGCTAATTCCACTTAAAAAAAATACGTAAAATCCTGAATTGAAATGTTGTATAACCTAACTCTGCAGCATATTTTTAAAATAAAACAATCGTAGTTGATTAATAGTTATCTCAGAATAGAGTGGGTGGGGAATGGGACTAGGCAGCAGGGATAAAGGGAACAAAAAGTAAAACAAAATAAATGAAATAGAAGCAGGGTCATAAATGGACTGATGATGATAGTAAGCTTTTTTATTTATTCCATGTACCTGAGTTTTAATTAAAACGAAGATAGACCAGAGCAAGGAGCAGTTATGGGACATCACATGAAATGTTCATTTTTTGGAGATGGACATCACCCTGGAAGAGCTAGTATGGTTTTCTGCCTGCTAGTCTGCATCCTCCCTCCGCCAGCAGGCAATGTCATCTGGTTGGTCTTGTTTCTGTGAACAAAAATTTATAAGGCATTTTATGTCACTACCTAACAAGAATCCTCTGAATTTAAGATTATGTAACCTCTGAGAAGGCAAGACGCACATGGTCAAAACACAAAAAACAAATACACATGGTCCGAATTTCACAATACAGAACAATGAAAATTAGAAAGTAAAAAATAATAATAACATCACCTAGATATAGAAGAAATATTAGGCACATATCATTATAGACATCTCTTTAGCCACATCTCCAGACGGAGGATAGAGAAATGTAGAAATAAGAGAAACAATTTCATAAACAGAAATGCACTGCACATGTCACTCTAAAATAAAGTATTAAATTAGTTTTATTTAAATGCAACAAAAGAAAAAGGAAATGAAGTGAAACTGGAATAACTGCTAACTTCACATAAACATTTCTTCACCACAAGATATGTTAGTTTCTAAAATATACCTATAAGGTTGAGGGGGAAGAAAGACTGCAAATTCTTTAGGCATTAAAATAAAATCTTAACTGCATTAAAAATTTCTAGATGCCAATTAACTCCCAGGTATTAAATAAAAGTAAATCACTTGGCACTTATTTACACCAGAAATTTTTAAAAATATGTCCACAAATTCTTTGACAAGAGATAAAACTAACTCACCTGGAGAATGGGAAAGAGTAACCTCTGAGACCAGGACATGAAGGGTGTTGTGACTTTTATTTGTCTTTCTTCCTTGGACCCCTCATTCTGAGGGAAGCCATATACTATATCATAAAGACACTCAAACAGCTCTAGGGAGACATCTACTTCGTGAGCAACTGGGGCTCCTTGGGAACATTAGCTAGGGACTGAGTCCTTTGCCAGTAGCCATTGGTGATCCTCCAGCTGCCCCTCCAGCCCCAATAAAGCTTTCTCAGGACTCAGTCCTAGCCAACATCTTGACTCATGAGAAACACTGAATCAGAACCATCCCGCTAAACCACCCCCAAATTCCTAACTCACAGAAACTATGAATTACAAAGGTATGTAAAAATAGATAGCTAAAACAGCCTTTTATTCCTAAATTATAAAAATTTTGATTCAATTACTCAGTGCTCAAAAAGAATGACATCTTGCCATTTGCCACAATGTTCATGGAACCAGAGTATATCATGCTAAGTGAAATAAGTCAGTCAGAAAAAGACAAATAGTATACACTTTCACTCATATGTGGAATTTAATAAATAAAACAGATGAACATAGGGGAAGGGAAGGAAAAATTAGGTAGAAACAGAGAAGGAGGCAAACCATAAGACACTCTTAACTATAGAGAACAAACTGAGGGTTGCTGGAGGGAAGTGGGGGGGGAGGGGCTAAATGGGTGATGGGCATGAAGGAGGGCACTTCTTGGGAGGAGCACTGGGTGTTATATGTAAGTGATGAGTCACTGGATTCTACTCCTGAAACGAATACTACACTGTATGTTAACCAACTTGAATTTAAATACATAAATTAAAAAAAAAATTATTCTATCTTCAACACTGGATTTTGTTTTTCATTTGTCTTTTCCAGAAGAGTTAAATATTTGTTTTGACCTTTAAATCAAATGATAATTTAGCCAAGCATAAAATTCACGGGTCACACGTCCTTTCCCTCACACCTGTGTAGGAGTTGATAGTCCATTTTCTGGCACTGAACATTTAATTAGCTTCCTTAGTACAGTTCTTCCATTTAACCACTAAGTAATTTGGTTCTAAGCTTTTTTTTATATCAAGTTTGTTTAATTTTTTTTTTTAGATTTATAGAAAAACTTTGAAGGTCAAAGACACTTCCCATATACTCTGTACTCATTTTCCTCTGTTACTAACGTCTCACATTACATTGAGTTAGAAGACTTAAATATTTCCAAAATGAGAGGAGTGATTCTGACTAGAGATTAAATGTGGGATTATGGCAATATATAGATTTTGAAGCTCTCACCATGGATAAGGCTGCCTAGGCAGTAAGTTTAAAGGACAATCTAGGGGGGCGCCTGGGTGGCACAGTCAGTTGGGCGTCCGACTTCAGCCAGGTCACGATCTCGCGGTCCGTGAGTTCGAGCCCCGCGTCAGGCTCTGGGCTGATGGCTCAGAGCCTGGAGCCTGTTTCCGATTCTGTGTCTCCCTCTCTCTCTGCCCCTCCCCCGTTCATGCTCTGTCTCTCTCTGTCCCAAAAATAAATAAACGTTGAAAAAAAAATTTAAAAAAAAATAAAAATAAAAATAAAGGACAATCTAGGGGAAAACCTTAAGGAAACCCAATGCTTAATGGCTAGATAGAGGGGGGAATGAGACTACAAAGTAAATATAGAGAGAATAATGGCCAAAAATACAGGAAAAACCATGAAAGTATAGTATTACATAAGCCAGTGTTAGAGTATTTCTTGAAAGGAGTAGTTGGGGTTATCAAATGCTATAGAAAGATCAAGAAAAATAAGTGTCTCTTAGATACATGATGTAAAGGTCCCTCTTTAAATATGAAACAAAACTCACCAAGTATGGCCATATTGCAGTTTTTCAAAAGAAGGGTGACATGCTGAGGAATTCTAATAAAGATAATGCAATATCTTTTAAGATTCTTAATTACAATTTTCAATTGAATGTAAGGCAAAATTGCAATCATGGAAAGGAGTCTATACCTAGAGTAGTGACTTCAGGTTCTGCATTTACAATTATAGCATACATGCCTTCACCTGTGTTTGAGGAATATTTCAGAATGTGGGTATCTCCTAATCAACTGTGATTAGACCAAGGGTAGATCCTTGATATTACACAGGCCAGTCAGAGTCCTTTCCCAAGTCCAAATTAGAATTGAGAGTAAGAGAGGAGTGTCGGGGCGCCTGGGTGGCGCAGTCGGTTAAGCGTCCGACTTCAGCCAGGTCACGATCTCGCGGTCCGTGAGTTTGAGCCCCGCGTCAGGCTCTGGGCTGATGGCTCAGAGCCTGGAGCCTGTTTCCGATTCTGTGTCTCCCTCTCTCTCTGCCCCTCCCCCGTTCATGCTCTGTCTCTCTCTGTCCCAAAAATAAATAAACGTTGAAAAAAAAATTTAAAAAAATAAAATAAAATAAAATAAAAAAAAAGAGAGGAGTGTCAACTTCTTTGTGAGATTGTAATCATAACAAAAGAACTTGAAGACCATTTTGTCTCCAGTGTTGTTTGTATAGGCCAGAAAGCATCTTCTCTGAAAGAGGACACTTGTTCCGATCTCTGTCTCTCATTGATTTAATTCTCTCCCTGTGTATGTTTTATTTGCCACTGTAATATCCAGAAACTACCTGTTTTTCAATGTGTACTTCAGCTCCAGAATTTCCAGGTTTGTTTTTTTTTTTCAACGTTTATTTATTTTTGGGACAGAGAGAGACAGAGCATGAACGGGGGAGGGGCAGAGAGAGAGGGAGACACAGAATCGGAAACAGGCTCCAGGCTCTGAGCCATCAGCCCAGAGCCTGACGCGGGGGCTCGAACTCACGGACCGCGAGATCGTGACCTGGCTGAAGTCGGACGCTTAACCGACTGCGCCACCCAGGCGCCCCCAGAATTTCCAGGTTTTAAAAACAGGCTATATCACTATTCATAATTTCCAGTTCTTTTCTTTTTATTTTTTTTAACATTTATTCATTTTTTGAGAGACATAGAGAGAGCACAAGCAGGGGAGGGGCGGAGAGAGAGGGAGACACAGAATCTGAAGCAGGCTCCAGGCTCCGAGCTGTCAGCACAGAGCCCAATGTGGGGCTCGAACCCACGAACCGCCAGATCATGACCTGAGCGAGGTCAGACGCTTAACCGACTGAGCCACCCAGGAACCCCATAATTTCCAGTTCTTAATTTACATTTGAAAATTATGTTTGTAATTCTAAGAGCATAGTAAATAGAGTTATTTTACAATCCATGACCAGTAATTTCATTGCCTAGTGTGCCTGTGGATCTATTTCATTGCCTATTGTGTTGCTTGTTGCTTATGTTGTCTTTTCCCCTCATCTTTGGCTGTGTGCTTAATGTTTTTGAAAAAAAATTGCAGAAACAATTTGAAGGCTGAAATGAAGTTATCTTCCTGCAGAAAGAATTTCCAATTACTTTTGACAGGCATCTTGGGACACAAGCAAAACAGGTGATCTTAAGTTAATTTCAAGATTTGAGGTTTTCTGTGGAAACCAGATACCTTAGAGCTTGTTCAGTGCTTGAAAGGATTGCATTACTTTCTATTGGTCCCTACTCCTAAGGCGTGGGTGACCCTTAGGGGTTGTTTACCAGGGCTACCCTCCTTTGCTAAGCCTTGGACTCAGCTTTTGTTGCTCCAGATCAAAGAAATCGTCAAAGATACTGCTCAACTCCTCAAAGTTCTTTCTAGATCTGAAAACGTCCCCTGCACAGAAAGAACTCCAAAGATCTTTGGATTTCTATGTTCTCCTGGATATTGACATGGTTACTCCTATCATTTTGAACTCCAATATTTCTTTTGGTTGATGATCATGTTTTCTGGGCCCAGAAATTTATATGATTTATGGACCCATCTTTTGGAAAAGGACACAAAATCAGACACAGAGTCTTGAAAGGAAGCATACAAGTGAAAAACCCTGGAACCTAAGCTTCATGGTAAATCCTCCTCTGCTAGGCTTCACTTGGTGGTTTGGTCCAAATTACCTGGTCACCAATTACCACAAGTTCAAGGCACTTTCCTGGATCCTTAAAGGAATGTACGCTATTCAGTGTGGTGTGATACTCACATCATGAAGAGCAGCAGAGCTAACAGATCAGAACATCTCTCTCTTTTCACATGCATCTACTCTTTGAATGGAATGGCAGTAAGAATCAACCCCATTATTTAGACAGTTATTTATATCTCACTCTCACTTTTTTCCTCATATAAGTAAGCATATTTGAATCTGCAGAAGCTAAATTTGCATGTGATGCAACTCCATTATTATCTGTAATTTTTCTTTCGAGGGCTTCTTTAACACAAAAGCTGTTTCAAAGTGCATGTTCTAATTTCAGATGAATGCATA